GRARSYWARAAAAAGAAGGAAGCTGGCGCTCTCAGTTAAATTTGCTGACTGCGGCTGTTGAGAAAGGTAATTAAGTAATGACAAATGTCTCACATTTAATTAAATGAAATGATTTTTAACTGCGATTACAAAGTACGGATAGTTTATATTTCTAAGCCCACACTGGCTTTTATGCAGTGAATACCCACTAAATTACCTATGAAACTAATTAAAAGTTTGTAATTAAACTCATGAAATTATAGTTCGCCGATATTTGATATTTTCTTTGYTAGTACTTTTTCCGCACTTTAATTAACAGTTTGTAACACATACATTGACACATATTATATTTATTAACCTACCCACCGCCTACTGCCCGCAAGCATTCTAAACAGAATGGATTTTGATCGAGAAAGGCAACAATTAACTGACCTTCTGACTATAATTTAGAATTTGCTGGTTTAATAATGGAGACTTCACATTTGTAACATTTGACAGTGAATTACACACATACGCATACACACACACATGTATAGAAAAGTACCCACGATCATTTGTACTTTCAATTAGAAAGGTAATAACTAACTAACACGATACAAAACATATAAACATAGACGAAAATAACAAAAGAGAAGCACAAAAACTATGAATAAAAGTTGGAAAATGCACACAATGAAATAAAACGCGGTTAATTGCTTTGTATCAAAGCAAARGAAAGAAAGAAAAAATGAATAAAATTGCAAAACAAACATTGATGAAAAAGGAAAAACCAAAAATTCAAAAACATGAGCAGAAAAGGTAATAAATAAAACTATATGAATGAAAATGCATAAAACAACAAGGAAACAGCTTTTCTCGATTTTTTTTTTTTTTTTTGTGAAGGTCGTAGAATGAAACATATGTAAATTATAGATTTACTACAATAATACGCAAACAATAGAGACGGTTGCGGTTGATGACACACGGATTTACTATATATGTATATAGTGTACAATTAATCTATTATAAAATATTAAAAAAAATTTAAAAAAAATATTAAAAAAAAAAAACTTAAATTATAAATATAAATATAAAGAAGGTTTTCAATATTTCATGCGGCAATGGAAATAAAATAGGCAGGTAAAAAGAGTGGGATAAAGTACTGTGGAGCAATTTTCTAATGTTGCTGCGTAAAGAAAATTCTTGAAAATATATGTTTAATACTTTTAACATAGTTCGTTAATAAAAAACGTATAAAAAAAAATAAGAGCAACTATAGACCACGTAACCCCTTAAGCATTTATTTATATGAAAAAATGTATACATTTTCTATGAAAAYATTTATGAATTATGTAAATATATTTTCAAACACCTGTTATACCACAGAAGTTAATTGATTTCTCTATTTCTCACAGTTTGCAGMACGAGGCGATGGTCAATTATATTAATTTTTGCGAGAGAAAATCTTTGCGGATCGAAGTATCTGAACCACTGTACATGAAAAGTATGCATTTAGCTACAATTTAACAATAATTTTCGTGCAAATATTACTTTTAGTTTTCTTCTTTCAGTTGTGTTAGTATTTCCCACAGAAAATCAGAATATTATATGCATTTTTAATTTGAATCACATTTCGCCTTGCATAGTCAATAATCCCAGAAGGGCGTTCCCTCAACGTTTGTCACATAAAATATGTATGTATGAACAAATGCATATAGTATATATGATTACTGTAATTTCAATTGCAACTCACGCAATATGTATTTACAAGTATATGCGTACATATGTATGTATATATAAATTTAAACAGGGAAAAAATATTATTTACCAACAAAAAATGTACTAAATTGCGGCCTGCAGGAAAAATATGGCTTGGTGGAAACAGTTGGAGAAATTTAAGTAGTTTATTCACTGAAATATTGTGCTATACATCTACTTTATATGTTTTTTATATATTGAAAAACTATTATAAAGTATTATTAGGATTGGATGGAGGATGGAGTCATGTGTAGAAGTTCACGCAAGTGAGGGAAGTTTTCTGATCGCCATTCACTTGGGAGTGGCCAGAAACGATTCTTTTACATATGACTCAAGCAGCTGACGACTTCCGGTTCTTGACCAAGTATCCTCTGGGTAGCCTAAGAACATCCGTTTGAAGGCGAGCTAAAGTGAGAAGCCGAAACATTCCCTGCATAGGGTTGTGCGCTGGGCTTGGGACCCGCCACGTAATAAAACCACCCCAATGACAATAAAAATTATTCGAGACATTGCCAATCTAAACCCATAACATTTTCTTATCTTTCTGGAATTTTTGGGAATTCCTTCCAAAAAGTAGTTCAGCGGCTTGGCGTCCCAAAAGCCAAGTCTTGCTACACTGAAAGCTCAGGTCTTCTTTTTWAAGAGATTCAAGCCACTTGTGACAMATTCGTACAGCTAGGGTATTTTCAACATAAACTTCCACCAAAAAACAATGACTTTGTGCAGATGAAAGTTATGTAGAAAACTCCTGCAAAACTAGTGTTGCAGGCGCAAAATTTCACATTTTTGGGTAAAGAAATWATTTTTTGCTTACACCTGAAAGAATTGCGTATACTGACAAGGAAGCAAAAAGGCATTAGCTTTCCAACTCATTTTCGGCATATTGGAACARTGAAATAAAAA